ATTATCATTCGATGTTGTTTCCTAAGACTTAATTCATTATTATTTTTATTTTAACTATTTCCTACTCGACATTTTATAATTGGAACTTGAAAAACTTTGTTTTAACAAAATGTTTTCTATTTAGAATTTCGTACTATTTATTAGTCTGTGTATAAAAATTTGAAAATCTGTGTTATCTTTTTTACCTTGGTATTTCGTGGTCTATCTCGTATGTAACGTATATCTTATCGGTGTTAAACTTAGAAGAGAAAGATGTAGGCTTACGATATCTCTCCCCCCCCCCACCCCAATGTATGTGCGAAATGTCATCGCCACTTTTTATATATATCATTTTGCCTATTTTAGTTAGCAGTTTTTACGTATTGTATTATATTTTTTAAACGCAACTATTTTTAATCATGACCTTGCCTTCCGCCCAAATCCCTAAGTGTCCTCGATTATTTCGAAGCATATGTAATAATTTCGCAATAATTAATATAACGTATTTTACCATAGATTTTTTGTAAACTGTTAATATGTATATCGAAACGGTTAAGCAAAATTTTGATATTTTAAAGTAAAATGAACATTCAATAAAACTATATTAATTTTATTTTTTAATTACCAAATGTACTTTTTACTTAGATTATTTCTAAATGTGGAGGACCATCATACTAACTTCAATTTCTTATGTTCAATGCAATAAATTTTGTAGTAACGAATTAATATAGCAATTACAGTTACACGAGTTAATTCGATTGTATGCATTGAATTGTATTCAATTGTAATCGCAACTTAGTAAAATATTCTTAATTTATTGTGTTCGTATGTATTAACACAAACTCAGCAGATAGTAATCTGTATACGTGAAACATGCAACAAAAAATGCTTTTCAGAAGAAAGTTTAAAACATTTGTTATCTTTTATATTTCAGCAATGCAAATATTAATTTATCTCTTTACTTAAGACTTTCGTAAGGATGATAAATTTAAAATGCATTTATTTATGGAGACGAAAATTTTTTCTTTTATAAGCATTTTGTTTACTTACGTGAAAGATTAATGTTGAAAAAGAATTAATGCTTTATAATTTTTCGAATAATGTGTAATAAGATATAATGTAATAGGTTTGATATCAAATATATATATATATATATTTCATTACATTTTCCTGTTTAGTTATAAAATATTTACTATTTTGAATTATATTTTAATATATTTCTTTCAAATGATTATTTGTAATGTGCGTTTCATTTGTTTATTTCTCAATATAATTAATTAATTAATATAATATAATATAATATTAATTAATTAATATAATATTAATTAATTTTAAAATATAATTAATTAGATGTTTAAAGTAGGCAATTATCGGAGATAATTACATTAAATATGAGATACATTGAATATATTGAATATCATCATCAATTAGAGCCAAACATATATATTACATATATTACATATATCGGTGGATCTTTTATATATTATCGAATTTGATAATTTTATTATTTTTCAAATTGTAAATTTTTCATCTTTGCAAAATAGCAATGCTAGTTGTTGTAATAATGATATATTGAATTTTTTTTTAGAATACTTTTATTCCTATTATAATAAACAAACAATTCAATTGATTTATACGAAGGTAGTACGAAGTACCACATTACGACTTGGTTACTTGACGTAAAGAAGAATTTTACTGTTAACTCAAGCGGTTTTGTTTTCTTTACAGACGAATTTAATTATAAAATAGCCGACGAATTATAGTTTATAACTCCAAATAACTTTTCTTATCAGGAATTGGAATGTTATTAAAGTGATTACCAAAGTATTTGTAGTTTTGTGTACATTTCGATCGATAAAATATTTATGCGCAAACATTCAATTTACAATTATACATGACAAATTTTGACTAGCCATTGTATTGTCGGTATTGCACTCAATAGTGAACGTATTATATTAATTAAGACAAATATATATATATATATAAAGATTCAGGACAATTCGAAAATCACTATTTTCATAAGTTTAATCTATATTATCTATTAATTATTTTATTTTACTTTTATCTATAAAATCTAAAATTATTAATCATGTTTTTTTCTCGTTTAAATTAAGAGAAATGATTGATTATGTATTATTTATTATTATATTATTAGTTATAGATTATATATTAGTTAATAATGGAATAATAGAATGAATTTAATCATATTCCGGACGTCTACTTTATTTATTATGGAATCATGAAAAATAACTTTCATCACAACCATTTATTAAGAAATAATCAATTAAGTTATGCTTGTATGTATATGTCAACATTTGTCGTCACTTTGTTTAACAATTAGAGTTATTTATTTATTTTCATATGAATGTTAAAACAATCACCAGTTTAATTATGATTACCATAAGACATCAAGTTTTTTTTTTGTTTTTGTTTTATCTTCCATATGTTTTGAGAGGCATGAGTAAAAATGGAATTGCAAGTAAGCATTTCGTAAACAATTGTGTGATACTGTTTTATATGAAATTTTAGCACTTATGTGTTTTATTGCAGAAAAAAAGAAACGGCATTTGATTGAGATTGAATGTCATCAAGCTCTAATATTAAGAAAAAATTTGTATATTTTCAAATTTCTTCATGAGTTTGGGCGACACATTGAAAGTTTAAAAAATTAATCCAATTATCATACGCTCGATATTGATTGTATTATTTAATGTTTAAATAAGGTAAAAATATTGCAATTAAAATAACAGACTATTATTTATTACATTTATTGCTATTCAAATCATTTAAAATACTCAGACGTGTAATAGATATTGGTTTTTACGAGTGATAATGTTAGTATAAAATAAATATTATCCTGTAGATCGGCATCAATTAAATGTCGTTTATGGTAATACCAAAACTATCAAATCATAGTCAGTTAAATTTCATCATTGTAATAACCCTTATATTCAATATCGTTATTTAGAATATAATTTTTAAATCCAATAGCGTGAACTTAGTTTCGCTTACGTATTTATAATTAAAAAGTCTGGCTTTTTAATAGGCACATAAATAGGAATTAGGTAACATTGAGCATCATCCGAATAACAGGATCTCGACTTGATGTTGAAATACGGATGGATTTAAGTTTGTAGGAATCGTTAAATTATTTGTCTTTCAATTAAATTCTGATGGTTGAAGGCAACCTTGAGCAGATGTAAAAAAATAAGAAGAAAAAAAACTATATAAATACGAAGAAGCTCGGCGGAAATCGTCAGCCTATTTATGATATTTGACACCTTTACAGATGCGATACAGAAATCGGGCATTTCAACGCTCGTTCAGTGTCAGATTTCCATTGCTAAAACACATTGCTACTAAATTTCTAGTTCTTTTAAAATTCATTTCACAACGATTGAACTTATCAGTGATTCGATGGCGGTATTTATGATATCAAATGAAATATACATTATGAAAAGCTGCTTCCTCGCATCATCCGTTATCATCAATTATCAATAAAATTTATCATATAATTTTTAAATTAATTTACAAGACTGCACGTCCAGATTTTGTTTATATAAGCATTCGTGTGGAAATGCGTGAAAATCTAGTAATCGAGAGAAAGATAGTAACATGTGGCGAGCTTTGCTCCAATAGCAGCTAAGCCGGTCGATGGAGTGAAAAAAAAACAACTCTTCACTACGTTCGCCTACACTTACGCGACCCTTAGTATATATTTATGTTTCGCACGTTGACAAGCGGACAAGAGAAAGGCCAAACAAATTTTTATCAATTAATGATTAGCATTGAAGGGTATTTAAACAATACTCAGAAATTCTTGGGACGATGCATGCATTTTTATTCTTTATGAAAGCTGTCGATTCATTAGTGATTAAAATCTCTGCTCGACATAGGGTCACATGGACGTAATTGTGGGGTGAGTGTACGTATGTTGTATTATCTCGTTTAATTTGACTCAGATCGATTAGAATTACTTATTTATTGGGTCATTTAATTTCATTAGCCGCGTTTGACTATAAAGTGTGTCGAACAGATGAAATTTACTATAAAACTGTCTTCAACGATGACTTGTCTTCGAGCATTAATAAATATAAAATTAATTTTTCATAATTAATTCATTTTTCAACACTTTTCAACAAGGACACTTTGTGACAAGGACCTTTCACTTGTTTCGGTAATGTCAATTTATTGTAATAACTTTTTTTTTTCTGCAAATTGCGTAGTAAATATCGGAATATTGAGCATAAGTTGTAGTGTTTTTTGAAACAGTTTCGTCGCACAGAACCCTAAAGCTATTTATTACCAAAGTCATGTATAAATTAAAAACATCAATGACGACAAAATACCAAATTTGCTGAAAAAAAAGAAAAAAAAACAAACAAACAAAAAACAAAGATAATGCATTTAATTGTTTAACTTATACTATGGCTTCATAAACATCATTGATATGCTTTATTTTTATGGGTTTACAGATATAAAAGAAATGTAATATGATTGGATTTTAACTCTTTCATGGAGTGTCAGATTAATATCCGCATGTATTATGCAATGGATTCAGCGTGTTGGCGTGCCCCGATTGTATTGTAATATATACATTAAAAGTAGAAAAGTAGATGAAACGTGCATTTGCAAGGACGAGCGTAACAGTTTTGTAACAATATGTGGTTAAAAATAGCATTTAGCCAATAAAATACGTCAACGACAATCGCACAAATTGTGATACACGGATCGACTTTAAGATAAATCATTAAACAAAAACAAAAACAAAAAAATTCATTATATTACATTAAATTAATGAAAGTGATCTCAGTTGCATCACAAAGTAACATTTGCCAATACTTTTGAGGAATAATTTTAATTACAAAACATTTGATACGGCGCCGTAGTTGGCTTCGGCAACCACAAAGTAACACCAAAACGAACGAACCTTAGCGAGTCAGCGATCGAAAATTATAACTCCCACAACAACCGATTAAAGCATAACCAATATTGATGGATGATTGTTTGTTAAATTACAGCCGACACAATGTCCGTAGACAAAGAGGAATTAGTGCAGCGTGCGAAGCTTGCCGAGCAGGCGGAGAGATACGATGACATGGCGACGGCGATGAAGTCCGTGACCGAGACGGGCGTCGAGCTCTCGAACGAGGAGAGGAACCTGCTGTCGGTCGCCTACAAGAACGTCGTCGGGGCGAGGCGCAGCTCGTGGCGGGTCATTTCCTCGATCGAGCAGAAAACCGAAGGCTCCGAGCGCAAACAGCAAATGGCGAAGGAGTACCGGGAAAAGGTCGAGAAGGAGCTCCGCGAGATCTGCTACGACGTTTTGGTGAGTACTCGTCATTATTACATATATTGTCGCTCATAACTTTGCGACCTTTGATTACTCGGGTTTCAGAGCTCTCCGAAGCTCGGAGGCACACGGATGGATTACTAAGTGAAGAATAAAAATTCTTGATTGTCTGTAACGGAGCGTTGATCCTTAGTCATGTAAATTCATTCGTTTAAATTCATCCATTATGTGCCCAATGCTACTTTACCTTCACTTTAATCAATCTCATCGCTTTGATGGCGATAAGAAGAGGATCGCTTTTATTTGAGTTGGGCGAATCTATTTACTTTTAGTTACAAATAATTTAAACTGATGTTCTAAATCATCATCGAGCCTAGGCTCTTTATAATTTTTTTTTATTAATTCTTATATCTATTATTAAATATGTTCGCGCATCATTTTTATCAAATTCTCATTATACGAGTCAAGAGTGACTTTTTCAATTTCTAATTGACTCATTTTGTTTATGATTATTCTATTTATATACATAATTACTAATTTCAATCTTGATAGCCAGTATTTTTCCCTATTGAATATTATCTAATTAAGTAAATATAGTTACGACTACTTTAGTATTATATTGTCATTTTAATTTCTTACAAAATTTTTAATGTCTATCCTATCTAATAATTCATTATTTTAGACAATTTACAATTTTAAATTTAATCGGTATTTATCGTGTTGTTCATAATTTGTTCAATTTTCCAATGAAATCATACATCGTTTGGAAAGAATTAGAGGAAGAGACAAACGCTCTAATATTTCAAAATCTATCGAATAAACCACTTTAAATGTGAATATGATTATTGACATAAATTTAGATCTACAATTCTTAAAAGTCTAAATCAAATTTTTTAATCGAAACAATGAATTAAATTGTAAGGAGAAATTGTACCGAGATCTTATGCAATTTTTTTTTTTTTTTTTTTTTTTTTTTTTTTTTTTTTTTTTTTTTTTTTTTTTTTTTTTTTTTTAATTTAACTTGTTCCTAAGGCGCTTAATAAACGTCGTTATACAATTGGTATTTGTTGCAGTGTTCTATAATAAATACAAATACGTTTAAGAAATTTTATTTTACTTCTAAGTCCATGTACAATCGGATCATAAATTAGACATAAAATTGAAAATTTTTACTCATTGATGTATGCAGAAGATAATAAAATCCTTTCATGTGAATACATAAATTGTAAAAATGACTATAATTGCTTGCCATTAAAAGGCGTTTGTTATAATTATTATATTGTTTTTGTTAACTTTACGCTTCATACGCTTGATAAACTTCAACTCGTGTAATTACAAATATACGTAGGTATTCTTATGAATACAATTTCGTCAAGTTTTATCTCATGATATCATCCATCCTAGATAATAGCGAGTCAAAATTTTTTTGGATTTTCATGAGTATGGATTTTATTTTATTTTATTTTATAAATTTATAAATTTATTCTTTTGTACTTGCCTACTTATTATGTCGAAATCTAAATAAGATAAAGTATATACTATTAAGATCGCATTCTTTAAAGGTTTAAGAAGTTTTTGTTAAGAATTGTTATTATTGTTTCCATACTTAGAATAATAAATTCACCCATTTTTCAGTTGTAAGGTAGGTAGCGCTTGAAATTTTTAATATGTTGATGTAATACTTTGTTTCCTTCTTTCTAGCAAATGCGGAGTTAAATTTAAATTGATTATTAACTTTAAGACATTGATTCTCGCTTTATAACTACTAATACCAACAATTTAAATTAGCGATTTATCTTTGTAATACGCTTATATTAGGACATGACCTTCAAGGGATGAAAAGTCTTATGATCTTAACGAATTCGCCTTGACATGCATTCATTGTATAAAAAGTCATAAAAAATATTCGTGATTCTACAAAATATATTTACGATTTATCGACGGCATATTATAATGAAGTACAAAATAACAAAACTCGTAGTTTTTAAGTGAAAATTGAGAGAAATAGGATTTTAATTTTATTCTTACATGCCAATGGCTTTCTTTCTGTCTCTTACCATAGATAAATTTCATAAATTCATCATGAAATATACATGAATTCTATTCATTAAGACGAATTTTTATATACTTTTCTGGTTTAAAATTCTTCATTCATTTTTGTTTTAAAAAAATAGTCAATTTGAGGCATATGGAAACAAAAGCACAAGATGCACTTTATCTGTTTTATTGCGATGAGGGGGTGTGGACGGTAATAAAATGACAAAATTGATTGTTTGCAATTCAATTCATATTCATTCACGTGCAAGCATCTCCACTAACACTTTTAATAAATACATTTTCCATTTTTATAATCGAACGAAAGGACTGGTTAATACAATGGCCTTGCCAATTGTTCAATTATATCAAAACTATGTTTATCAAAAGTATGTTCTATATCAAATCTGCAAATGAATGCGGTCTTTTTAATTAGAAATGTATGAAAATTTCTTCGGTAGCAAACAAATAAATAGTACATTGTGGATATGCTTATTATGCAACAAATTTAACCCTCTATATAACATTTATCTACGTAATATCGTATTATACAAATATTCTTTTCTGTTTTATATTGATATATTTTATGAAAGCATTTTTCTATTCGTCAGCTTTATTCTTTTAATAGTTAAATTTGTTTTTTTTTTTTTTTTTTACGTATCTTTAATGAAAAATTTTTATTCATAATACTTTCTATGCATTTTCGTTTGTAAAATAATGAATAAATAAATATCATCTTATCTTATTTTATTTACAGTTTTTAGAGCATGTAAATACTTACTTTTAAATGGACTGCTGTGTAGTATTGCATAATTTTATAAGTAGCGCCAACAATAATTTGAAAATAAAAAATAAATAAGTAGAACGTTTAAAAGAACATTTTTGTAGTTAATTATAATCAAATTTTATTTTTATAGACTTTGTTAATGTCGGGAGTTAATATTACGTTATATTAATGCTTGAATGCTAGATTGAAAATAAACTTGTTTAATTTACTATTGATGTCTCTGAAGGCTCCAGACAATAAGATTAATTCATGTCTCTAAAGATACTTGAGTCGTAACTCAGAGTCGACAAAGCAGGTGCACTTAAATTTTCAAGAGTACCGCCTAAAGCCGAATGTCTCCGCCCCCCCTACCCCCACCCCACCCCACCCCTCTTACTCTCATATATGCATATACATATACATGTATATAAGTAATGGCTTATTGATGTGCAGTACGGAAAAGTACAAATCGGCAAAGTGGAGCAGAGAAAAGATGCGAAAAGCCAGTCGCTTTTAGCCGTATGTAACGTATCCTCTTACATAACTGCGCATGTAAGGTACTCGAATATTCGCGCACTCATCGCGAAGCGTTTGAAGGCTCTAATGTCTCCTTACTGCTCATCTCGCTCCTCGCTTAATCGAGGAGGCGATGGATGTAGGCCGTCGGCCTGGCCGTTCTTGAGATTTTCAAGGTCGCGACACACTACACTTACATTGGATACCAGGTACAAGTGCGTAATGCCGATTCACGTTCCTCTTTTTTAATCTTCCTTATTATTTCAAGGCGAGGGTAGCCGGTAGATCGAAGACCGGGGGATTTTTTAATAAAATGGGACAAAGTGTTAATTAAAGTTGAGACGTAAATGCATTCTGGTGAAGGAAATCATGATTTAACATTAATCGAGATACGTGGAGGAGATTCAATTGAGCTTTTAATGCTTGCTAGTACGAGGTAATTTACGTGATGGCTTACGATTTTAATTACTTTCGTAACTAACGTAATTGGAGGAATTTTTCATATTTGTGTAGAAAACTTGTCAACAGTACAAGAATGAAAAAAGTATGAATTTAAAAGCATTTATTACATCAGCTGTATAATAAAATTTAAACACATAATTAGTGTATCATCATTACTATAGTAGCAAAATTGTTACCACTTCAGTAATGAGTGTAATATCAAAAGTCTTATTAATGTGAAATTTAAACTGTAGTAAAGGTAATTATTTAGCAATAAAGTAATTTTTTATGCTCTTACGAAGAAATAAAGATTAGCTTGACTTATTATAAAAAGTTATTGAGTCATTTTATAAATACTTTTAATCATAGGTATTTGAAGATTCATGAATGAAGTAAAAGACGAAGATTCTAATCAATTAGTGAAAAATGAATGAGATATTTATAACGTAAATATTCTATTGAATTAATGAAAATGATCCGCTGGCAATGTTTACGAATATAAAATATCGCATTTCATACTTTATATTTAGTAAAATGTTAATGATTAATGATTTTAATAATTTAATACTTTAAATTTAAAAATCTTGTAGCTCTGTTACTTATTTATTTGAGTCTGATATCCCAAGGTCTTGTCTGCTTCGAAATGAAAAGATAAGAAAGTGGTTTGACCTTCGCCCAATATTTATCAATAACGTTTTTTTAATAATTCATTACTGTGACTTAAATAAATGTCTCATTAATTTTCATACTTGAAATAAAATATTTTGCCCATTTTTATTAACGCAATATGAAGAAAGTGTTAAGTATTTAAAATTTCAATATACTATAAGGTTAATTTTATTACAGATAATAGGATAATCCTTCAACTGTTAACTTCAATTACTTAATTATTATTTCAAATATATACACAATTTATGTATAAAAAATTATTGTATAGAGTTAAGTAAATTACACGATGGCTTTCTATCCTATATATATATATATATACTTTTTATTAATATTAAATTTAAATATTCTTTATCAAATATACCCTCAACTTGGCCTTGAAACTTTCGTATGTTTTATTGACTCAATATGTATATATATGTGTGTGTGTGTGTGTGTGTGTGTGTGTGTGTGCGCGCGCGCGCGCGCGCGTACAAAGTTTTATAAAAAGAATATTCAATGAAATTCGTTTATGGAAAATTTTAGAAATTATTCCATTTTAGTTAATATTATTAAATGACAATAGAATAAAAAAATGTATGTAGACGGTAAATTACAAAAAAAATGTTGAGTTAACTTTAATGGAAATAGTTTGTTTTTATTAGTGTATCAAAGCGCATAACCTTCATACGTAAAATCGCTTTAGAATAAAAAGTATTTTTTAAACAGGTTTTGCATGAAACGCATGTGTATACATATCCATGCACACAACGGTAGCAGACCTCCTTAAATATCACTTTTCCCCGTTTCTTTAGTAAAGTATCGCTTATCCTATATGACAATACTTTGGCGCGTGAGATTTGAGGAACTGAACATGTTAGTTAAGTAAGATCACTTTTCGGGATTAATTTTCATCTATATTAACTGCGACATTTGGCAGTTCTGCTTTATTTTTTTCTACGTTTTATTTTTAAACGTACCATTAGAGATTGTTAATATAAAAAATATTATCTTTTTCCTTAAGATAGATAAATGTGAAATTTCAATGTTTTAACGTTACTTCCGAGTCAGGGGTTTTTGGTTTCACTGTCATAAATGAACAATTGCAATTTTCCCCGTGATATCAAATATTTTTATTTTAATCTAATAATTATGTTTAGAATATAAAATTATGAAAGTATTTCCAAATTAATTTGACAATTAGTTTGCCAATGTATTGACATTATTAATAACAAGTATATTCGTTATATAATACTAATTATAATCAAGTTTATTTTATAATCTATAATTTGAAAAATATTCTAATTCGATTTCTTATTACTTTATTATAATAATTAGTATTTTTCGAAGGTATGAGCTGTTTAAACGCGTATATGAATAACTTGAAAATTATAAATGTTGTAGCTGATGAATAAATGAAAAATCTATATATTCGTACACACCTTAATTATATCAATTATTAATAATAATTGTTAAAAGAATTTAGCAATTTGATATAAAAAATAATAATTTTAAAAATAATAATAAAAATAATAATAGATAATTTTCAAAAAAAAAAAAAAAATTCAAGTTTGTTCATTGGATGTGTTAATTTTTTTAAAAAGTTTTATTATATAGTTTTCGATTAAAGCTCAAGTCGTAATTTAAGGAAATTGTACTACGTTGAAGAAATATTTCAAATACGCAGTAGCTATTTTCCATTTTATCGTTACTAATTACTATTGGCAAATAAATGATTTAATTTATTGTTCCGAAAATTTATTTGTGCCAAGTAATATTATGATAATTTAGAATTTAGGCAATAATTAAAATCTTGAATTTTTTTTTTTTTTTTTTTTGTACAGAAAAATCGTTGATATTTATGTTTAAAAAAAAAATCGTTAATCGAGCCGAACAAACATCGCCTCTCTCCGCGCTAACATCTTTAATTAGATTATTGGCAGTTGGTAGAGAGTTTGTGGATAGTAGTAGACGATGATACAGGAATCGAATGTAGAAATTGCGATGAAAAGTATTGCGAGCAGACAATTTTCGAATGCCTCCAAATACGCAGTAATAGAATAGAACGACTTGCATTATAGAACAACGGAGCACCTCGTGGTCTTTCATATATCCTGCCTTGAGAATCCGGAAATTACTGGGAAGCGGAAACGGAAGTAACACGCCCAATCGACGTGCCTCTATCCTGACAACGGAAGTTCGACGGTGAAAACGTCGCGCATCTAGCAATGGAACGCTCATTTTTCTTCTATTTCTTTGTAATTTACATTTCTTTAGATAACTTCTGTGCACTGTTGCTTTATTGTTGAGCTGTAATTTCAATCTTTACAGGTGTTGACATTGTTGAATTTCAATGTCGTTCTTAATTTTATTATTATTTTATTGAATTAAAACGATGTGACGAGATTTTACGAACTACAAGATTAACATTTTAAAGCAATTGAAATACCAATGTAAGCGAGTCTGGGGAGGGCTAACAAATTTATTATTTACAAGCGGTCGATTTTTTTAATAAAAGATACATCGCTGAGATAAGGAGAATGTCGAGTCGAGTGTGGCTTTTATTGAAATTAGAGTTAAGAAAATTTAATGTATATCACCACCGCCACGTAAGAACATTGCTAATTGTTAAATAGATAATAACAAGTGCATCATCCTATCTCGAACGCGTTGTTTTCCTCATACTTTCAATCATTCATTATCAACGTTTGATAACCTGTTTGAAAAATATCCTCGATGATGCAGGTTTTTGTGTAATTCGACACGGTATACGAGCTTTCCAACGCGCGTCTCACCTGCACGAGTGTGGTGTATGACTTTTTGTACACTAAGATCTATCATGATCTATCGGTCAAGTTAAAGACTAAGCTACCGGTTTGTCATTCTGACAATAAACGACTTCCTACGGCGCTCTATTTCTGTTATTATTCTAACTGAGAATGCCAATATTTTTTTTCTTCTACACATTCTCTCGATAACACCGCTTGTTTAGCTAACGAAAGGCTGTAAAAATTTATCCAAGTATTTAACATATATGTATGCTCATTGATGATAAATCAGATTTCCTTATTGTTAACGCGCTCGCCGATCAATACGAGAGATATTACATTTTCCGAGCACCTTCGTTATATTACACGTTTGCATAGATATTCACATACCATAACATTTGA